AATTTTAATAATTTCTTTAATTTTTTATCCCTTTTATATATATATATAGAAGTCTATAAAAAGGACCAACCAGCAAATTTACTATGTACCGGATCGTCTAGAATAGACGATACTGTGCAGATAAGGAAAAAATTATATAAGTCTAAAAATTTGCACAACGATACTAATCTAAGGTGATATTATACGAAGATGTTGTTATCAAATCGTGTTGACAAATATTTCGGCTTAACAAATAGCCTTCGTCGGTGTCAATAATTTTACCAATACTGATATTAGGTGTAAAAATAGATCAGTAATACAGATAAGTTTTGGTCTATTGATTTTAATCCGTAATCTTGAACATCATAATATAAACAAAACTCGATACTCCAATATACGTGACTCAACGTAGTTGTTGTTTGGTTGTTTCCGTGTTGGAACACAGAAACACAGAAACAACCAAAAAAAAAAAACTACGTCAACTTGAAACCCGCTTGAAGAGAAGGGGATACAAACACAGAAATATCCAAAAACGTTTTCAGAAAGCGGAATCAATTCCTAGGAGTAAACTTTTAGAATACAAAGATAAAAAGAAAAATAAAAGGACTCCATGTGTTCTCACCTACCACCCATCTCTCAAAAACAGCTTTGGTGTCATTCGCGAGCATTGGAAAACAGTTGAAAAGAATCCCAAACTATCCAAGATTTTTCCCGAGCCTCCCATGATAGCTTTTAGGCAACCCAATAGTCTGCGGAACCTGCTAGTGCGGGCTGAAGTGTCTGATAATAGAAGTACTTCTGGAGAATGTCGTTCGTGTGAGGAAAAATGCTGCAAATGCTGCCTACAGATGCAGCATTCATCAACGTTTCACAGTAAGGCAACCGAAAATAACTATAAGATATTTTGCAATGTTACCTGCAAAAGTATGAACGTTATTTACATACTGGAATGTTCGGTTTGTGGCCTCCAATATGTTGGTGAGTCAAAGCAGCCTTTCCACAAACGACTCAATGGTCATAGGCGTGATATCTCTAAGAAGCCACTTCTCCCAGTTTCACAGCATTTCAGACAATCAGGTAACAAACTTTATGACTCTAACCGCATGAAAGTCCTAGTGATTGAACAGAACATTTACTGCAGTGATGCCGAGCGACAGATTCGGGAAAGCTTTTGGATAATGGAACTAAATGTACATCATCCAAACGGCACCAATAAGAAATGCTAAGTTTTGTTTTTCACTCATTTTGGAATGTAAATATACACAGTCACGTATATAGGAGTATCGAGTTTTGTTTATATTATGATGTTCAAGATTATGGATTAAAATCAATAGACCAAAACTTAACTGTATTACTGAACTATTTTTACACCTTATATCAGTATTGTTAAAATTATTGACACCGACGAAGGCTATTTGTCAAGCCGAAATATTTGTCAACATCTTCGTATAATACCATCTTAGATTAGTATCGTTGTGCAAATTTTTAGACTTATATATATAAATATATATATATAATTCGTCTAAACAACAGCCCAACAATGTTAGATCTGTAAATTTGCGTCAGCAAATTTTTTGTTCTTCCCTGGCCGGGATTCGAACTCATGCGACTGAGATATCGTGGCACCAAATAAAATCGCCTTGCACTATGCCCGACGCGCTAGACCACTCGACCACCTAGGCTCTATAATAATTAAGCTTTCGGTGGCCGGGTGTTACCTTTCCTCGTCAGTTTATATCTAGCGTCGTAACACAGTACATGATATATCAGGCATGAAGATGGAATTGTTACAGATCAGCTGTATTATCTATTGTAAAGGATCCTACAAATCAATGTAAGATGCAGTCACAGAAATAATTATATTATAAGTACGTCTGAACCAGTGACGACTCTACAACAGATTTTATCCATCGGATCACCAGCAGTGATGGTGATACAAGGCTGATAATACATTCTGTATATATAATTCGTCTAAACAACAGCCCAACAATGTTAGATCTGTAAATTTGCGTTAGCAAATTTTTTGTTCTTCCCTGGCCGGGATTCGAACTCATGCTACTGAGATATCGTGGCATCAAATCGCCTTGCACTATGCCCGACGCGCTAGACCACTCGACCACCTAGGCTCTATAATAATAAAGCTTTCGGTGGCCGGGTGCTACATTTCCTCGTCTGTTTTTATCTAGCGTCGTAACACAGTACATGATATATAAGTCATGAAGATGGAATTGTTTTATATATATTAAATATGCCAAATTATAATAAGAATAGATTCATTTGGGATATAAAGTTAAGAATTTCAGTGATTTTGTTGGCTGTTGTTACCTCAGTAAAAAAAGATAGTTATATAACTATTGTATGTACGACTATGAAACCTATGTAGTTTTTAGTTAAGAATTTTATTGAATTAAGTTTTGTTCAAAAAAAAAACCATATACATTACAAGAAGCACCTTAATAAGGTTTTATTACCCTCAGTACAGGTGTGGTTTTCAGGTAAAAGAAAATCTTTTTTTTTTAACATGACTCAGACTTTAAAATCTGATAATCATATAAGGATGTAAAAATCTGTTTTTATATATCTTTACTTTATTGTAGTTGTTGTCATGTCACTTAAAAAGAAACAGTTAACATGTAAAAAAAAGTAGAAGTTATTTGGTCAATTATGGTTAAGACTGGTCGAGTATTGTCAAGACCTTTGCTCGAGTATGATTCAGACTGAAAAAATAAGTCAAGAACTGGTCACGTATTGGTCCAGTACAGGTCGAGAATCGGTTAAGACTGTTTCAGACGGGTCGAGTAATAGTTCAGACTATTTTCAAGGCAACAATAAGGGTTAAGTACAAATCAGTACAGTCGAGTATGGTTAAGATTGGGGTCAAGTAATATTAAGTAAAATTCAGACCAATTCAGACTGGTCGAGTAAAATTCAGTACATACTAGTACAGATATAGGCCATTTCAGACTTTTACTCGTTTGTAGTGTCTGTCTATGTCCATCCATGTCTGCAATGTTTCGTTTATTTGACTGTCCAGTGGTTAGAGCGATATTGTAACAGATGTAAGTTATTCCTGAAACATGTCTCGCCGTCTCGGGCGCAATGAATTCTTTTTTCGCTTATATTTAACTAAATTCATTCTGAGCTAGACTTATTCACATCGATGCATAGTGACTCATTTACAATTGAACTTTTATTTTGAAACAAGTTTTATTTAATATGATTACTCTTAAGACTCTTCTTTTGTCTTTTCCTAAGATGTTTTAGTTGAACATGTGAGTGATATTCAACTCACTTCAGTTCATTATTTTTTACCTTTGATCGAGTCATATGTTTAATGCACGAGGCCATTGTTTATAGCATATACATTTTCCTGAATATAGTCTAGTATATGTCAGTCAAGTTCTTGCCTAATTTTTTCTTATTTTTAATCTTTCCCATTTTTTGTTTGTCTTTTATAGCCTACCCAACTGCATTGGTCTTTACCCCTCTTTTGCAGTTCTATAATACCATGTCAACGTAATAAGGACTTACAGTTTTGTTATGAACTATGAAATGTCTTTCAAAGTTATGTGATTTTAATTCACCAAATAGTCAAACGCGCATCTTGCATACAAAAATTTAAGTCTGGTATCTATGACGAGTTTATTTTTGTACATCTTTTAGGATTTTAAATGAAACATTTGTCATTTTAAACAACATTTATTTTTTTAAAGAAAGTTACAACAACATCAGTTTGTCTTGAATAATTTGTTTGATGTTTTATCACGACATGAGAGAATCCTCCGCTGAGTTGTTACGCCCAGTTCTTTTTTTTTATAGATTATCATATTTTTTCGTTTGATTATAATGATGTGTTTTATGTAATTGCTCCTTATAATAAAACAAAATTTTCATTCTACCAACGGAGCGGTGAGATAAATGTGTTCATGTTTCAATATAAATAAAATAGCGCATGTATATAGATCGAATAATTAATAATATTCCAGGCCCAGGCCATGTGTAAATTTACAACAAATCTATGACTTCCATGAATTATTTCGATTCTAATAGGACAAATACGGTCATACAACAAATGAGGCGAGGGTGGATTTGCCATGTGTATGGCTGTTCTATTTTACCCCCTGTTAGATAAATCTAAAAAATTCTGATAAATCTGTAGCTTGCATGAATTATTTCTTGAATAACCGCTAGAAAAAATTGTTTTTAATTCTTTTATTTCTCAAACCTAACATTTGCCATTTTGAATTTACATTTCTTTCTCGTATTAAAGCTACCATTAAATTTACTGTTGACATTTTGTAACTAAGGAGCAACCATAATGACTTGCTGAAATCAGTGAATGTGCGAATAATGCAACAAAATAGACAAAAACAACACCTACCTCAAAAATTTATTTCAATGCAATATTATCCGAATTTGGAGGGTTAACGCAACAGAAAAACCTTCAGCTTTGACTTTTTCATTCGTATGACGTCATGTTTTGAAACGACGTTAATGCGCCAAAAACATTAATGGAATTTCGCGGAATTTTATTTTATTTCGATTTTGTACAATTTTCCGAGCTCTATTGCATTAATTCTTTTTGCTATGCCTCAGAATAAGAAAAATGGTTCTGTAGGGTTTTTCCAATTGCAATTTTTAACACAATGAAATCGACACATCTTTTGCACATAGGTTACGATACATGTGGATTTACGTGGGAGGTATATTTTAATAGCCATTATATTGTACATCTCGGAGTCTGCGCTAAGTATAGATATATCGAGAATTATATCACGGTGTTGTTTACAAAGCGAAAGAAGCACGTCATATTAGAATGGTATTTATTAATCCAGTTTGTATTTTTTCAATGAACTGAATAACGAGTTTCATTGCCATGTGAATTACATTACTTTTTTGTGAACACTGCAGTATGCATATGCTTCATACTTTTGTTTGTATACTATTTTACGGTAAGGTGGGTATTCAATATTCTAGTTTCTATTTTTATCCATGGGTTAAATAAATCTTCTCATCTATAGTTCTTGCATACAATAGACCAGGAAGTCTTCCCATTTCATATGCAGACAGCATTGCATAGACTCGGCTTGAAATGTTCTGGACGAGGTAAAGCCAGCATGTGCTTACTTCTGCTTCTTGTTATCCTGCATTTCAGGTAATATTTTTATTTCAACTTATTTTTTTTAACTGTCAGTTGCTTCAATATATTTTCAATTGCAGGAAAACGTAAGTCTGCATTATTATTAGGAATGTTGTTCATACAGCATTCAAATGTTAAATTTTTATCTTCATTTTAATTTTTCTAATTTTGACAAAACATAGTTAATCGAATTTCGTCTTGTGAAAGTGAAAGTTGAAATATAACACTCCTTTCTAGCTCATCTGGCTGAAAAGGCCAGATTGAGTGATTGCTATTGCATTTGTCGTCAGCCATTGTCCTTCGTCGTCTGTCAGACAATACATTTTACCAAAATAAAACTTTTCATCCGAAACTAATGGGTCAAATTGGACAAAACTTGGTCACAATTTTCCTTGCGAAATTCAATTAGTTTAAAGAGTGTTTACGATAATCCTGCTTGCCAACCAACATAGCCGCTCAGATTAAAAATAGAACATAAAGTAAAAATGCAAGTATTGTCAATTATCTTGAAAACCGTTATAGATAGAAAAATCTTATTAAGTAGAAATGTTCAAAATATCGATATTTATCCACCGTCAATCTGACCAAAACTTTCAGGGGACTCCATTTATGAGTTATTGTCCTGAATGGTTTTTTTGTGAAAATCTATAGTAGATAGACGTAAACTGTTATGGGCACTAGATATCAGAAGGAAAAATTCTACATAAAAATGAACGTGTGAAAGAAGTCGACTCCTGATAGAGTTATTACCCTTCAATCATGATTTCAAACAATTTGTACGTTTTCGTTGGCAAACATTGAAAATATATTAATTGCAATGTTTGTATCCAAATTGCGAAAACATGACAGGTGAGAGATACAGACACATTAGAGTTCTTACTGGTTTTTCGCGCTAACCCAGTTTAAGGAATTAGCGTGATACGTCTGTGAGTGAGTCATAGTTAGTGTTAGTTGAATGTGAGTCACTCAAACCCTTTCCAACTGAATTTTACAGTTCGTTGATATGTTTTGTTGTTACACAACGCTCTCAGATTAGTATGAGTAGGGTAGAGCACTTTAAACCCGCCTAATTCTATATGTATCTCTCCAGCGTCACAACACATTACAATAAAGTCTACTTTTTAAAATGGACACAAATTTGAATAAACCAAGAGTTTCATGACGTTACGGGACATAGATTTGAGGGGAAAAAAGACATATTTTAGGCTAGACAGAGAGCCACAGAATTAAGTGTCATGATGTCAAGGGACACATTTCCAAGATAGACACAGATTTGAGGCTGTAAATATATTTGACTCATACATGTATACACCAGGGAAAACTATAAACAAAACCGATGTCAATTAAAGGTTAGTGATATAAGAACTCTTTAGAAAGGTTAATATAAGCAGACCGTCTTTCAGGTAAACATCACATGGAAGGAAAATAAAAAAAATGATACAATGGGCTCACCAATTCAACACTGTTATTAGATCTTTGAATATTGTTTTTATCGGTTCTAATATTGATTTTGTTATCAGTAAATTAAAATCAAACTAAATATTATTTTTATATACATATCCACATTCTTGGCTCTAAAATCTGTCGATACCTGTATATTGGCATTGCACAAGGTCATGTTTTTCTCTGACTGTTTATGACGTCTTTACACTAAATCCAATTGATGTTTGATGTGTACTGATTGATATTATAGTCTTAAATACATGATTTTTTTTCATTATTTGCTATTGGCTTTGAACTAGCTGTCAGTAAAAGCGAGTATTCTCAGATCTGTACTTAGTGTTTTTCTGTTGTGTGAACGTATAAGTACCCGTCCACGTACACTCTGTGTTTTTGTTAGATGTATTTCTATTTATATCCATCTGATGAGTTAATATAAAAAGAAGATATGGTATGATTGCCAATGAGACAACTCTCCGTAATAGACCACATGACACAGAAATTAACAAATTAAATTAAGCCTTTTTCAACTGATTTTTTATAGTTTGTTCTTATGTTGTACCGTTACACCACTGACCCAGATGGAAGGTTAGGGAGGGTTAGGGGAAGGGTTTGGCGCCAACAAACTAGTTTAACCCCACCACATTCTGTATGTGTTTGTCCCAAGTCAGGAGCCTGTAATTCAGTAGTTGTCGTTTGTTGCTGGGCGACATATATGATTTTCGTTCATTATGTTGTACATAAATAAGGCCGTTAGTTTTCTAGTTTGAATTGTTTTACATTTTTCATTTCGGGGTCCTTTATAGCTAACTATGCGGTTTGGGCTTTGCTCATTGTTGAGGGTCGTATGGTGGCCTATAGTTGTTAATTTCTGTGTCATTTGGTCTCTTGTGGAGAGTTGTCTCATTGGCAATCATACCACATCTTCTTATTTTTATATTTACATCCCCGTTATTTGGTCTATGATGAATATGTGTCTCGTTGGCAAGCATACCACATTTACTATTTTATTTATATTAACACATGAACAGGATTTAATCACATGTGAAATAATAAACAGTGAGTCATAAAAATTTCTACAAAATCTTATAAAAAACGGCAAACAACGATGACAAATTATTATTAGTCGAGCGTAATAGTTTAGATTTTTCAGTCATTAGTCACCATTTTACTGTTTATGTTAACTCTCTGCGTTTTGAACTATGTGGAGATGAGCATCAATGCGCTTGTTATTTGATGCAAGACGTAAATATTTGATTAACTTTTTGTATAGAAACTTTGTAAATATAAAGATAAATGATGCATTGCAAAACTTCTTCACTAATTTGCGCGTAAATTTACCTTTGATGTTAAAGTGATCAAGCTTTAAGGAGTGGTTCAAATATTAAATATTTTAGCAACCTGTCCAAAGTCAGAACTGTTCTCATTATTGGTTGCTTATGTTTCTTAACGGTTTGTGTCATTTGGCAGATCGTTGATAGCTCTGTTGTATTTACTCATTGCTTCTTTACACTCGATGCGATTTAGAGCTTGATATATCATATAGAGACCCGTCAACCATTGAAGACAGTATGTTGACCTCTAGATGTCTGTAATTCCACTTGAATAAACACATCTCACTTTATTCATATAGACATAATGATAACAGGCAATGTGATGAGTGGTGCCCGTTTGTTGTTTCACAGTCAAATAGAACTTCCTTTCCCTTCCTCATTGTACTCGTGCTGATAATTAAAAAAACTCCAATCTATATTGTGATACTAAAATTGTCTCAAGTCATTTTCATATCATAATTTCTTGAATATCTAATCAATTTTCTCGACAAATATGGAGTTAATCACATCAATGAATTTTGTCGAGGGTTTTGACTTTTAATGAGTTTTTGATATTAGACAGATTATTAAACTGGGCATGATATCCAGATCTTTATTGGGGTCATTATCATTTTAACGATCTGCAGCATTACATTACGTGTTGGAACTCCCTCGATAAAAGTTCACCTTTAGACGATATGACAGTTCTATTTATGTTTATCCATGTCTGCAATGTTTCGTTTATTTGACTGTTCAGTGGTTAGAGCGTTATTGTAACAGATGTAAGTTATTCCTGATACATGACTTTTCTTAATTTTAATCTTTTCCATTTTTTGTTTATCTTGATATAGCCAACTGCATTGGTCTTTACCCCTCTTTTGCAGTTCTATAATACTATGTAAACGTAATAAGGACTAACAGTTTTGTTATGAAATATTAAATGTCTTTCAAAGTTATGCGATTTTAATGCACCAACTAGTAATTCGAATGTTTTGAATTACTACGGATTTCTTTCTCCAGGAAATGATTACCTTAGCTTTATTTGGCAAAAGCTGTCGGAGTTGTGGGTCCTCAATGCTCTTCAACTTCGTATTTTATTTTATTTTTTTAATTTGTTTTTATTTGAGCGTCACTGATGAGTCTTTTGAAGACGATACCCGCATCTTGCATACAAAATTGTAAGCCTGGTATCTATGATGAGTTTATTTTTGTACATCTTTTAGGATTTTATATGAAACATTTGTCATTTTAAAGTGGCTCGGGTGTCTTCTTCCATCTTGGATTCTGAAGTAGCAGATAACGTTGGTCCAGATCTTTGATTAAATGTGCAAATTTTGAGAAGAGTATGCAATTTATGTGTAAGACTTTTGATATATAATTATAGAAAATTGTATGTTTTATCATAATTATTGCTGTAATTTCTCAAAAACACCTTATTTGTTTTTGATTAATTTTTTTTCAAATTTGCCAAATAAGGGGAGATAACTCCGATAAAGTCATTTTTATAATAGAAAGTGTTCTGAATTTACCTATTTTAATCTGTAGCAAGAAAACAAGTTCGGTGACCCCATTTTTTCTCTTTCCTATCTGAAAGCATGTTATAAGAGCTATCTTCTCACATTATATCTTAAAATTCTATCAGGTATTTTTCTTTTTATCACACAAACATTTGATTTTCCATGCAGTATCTATACAAAATCTGACAATTTTGCACTACCTGTAGCATGAAAAAAAGTCCGGTGACCCATACTTTTTATTATATTTTTGAAAAAAGCATGATAAATACTTCATTTTGACAAATTATTAAAAAATTCTATCAATTTTAATTAAGACGCCCTAGCCACCTTAGACATTTATATTTTTTTATAGAAAGTTACAACAACCTCAGTTTGTCTTGAATACTTTGTTTGATGTTTTATCACGACATGAGAGAATCCTCCGCTGAGTTGTTTCGCCCAGTTCTTTTTTTTTAATAGATTTTCAGATTTTTCTCGTTTGAATATAATGATGTGTTCTATGTAATTGCTCCTTATTATGAAACAAACTTTTCATTCTACCAACGGAGCGGTGAGATAAATAGGTCCATGTTTCAATATAAATAAATTAACACATGTCTATAGATCGAATTATTAATAGTATGCTGCTTTTTGTATACACTGTTGTATTCCTATTACATTCATTTTGTAAGATATGTTTACAGTTATATTGGTATTTATTAATCCAGTTTGTATTTTCTCAATGAACTGAATAACGAGTTTCATTGCAATGTGAATTACATTACTTTTTTGTGAACACTGCAGTATGCATATGCTTCATACTTTTGTTTGTATACTATTTTACAGTTAAGTGGGTATTCAGTATTCTAGTTTCTATTTTTATCCATGTGTTAAATAAATCTTTTCATCTATAGTTCTTGCATACAATAGACCAGGAAGTCTTCCCATTTCATATGCAGAAAACATTGCATAGACTCGGCTTGAAATGTTCTGGACGAAGTAAAGCCAGCATGTGCTTACTTCTGCTTCTTGTTATCCTGCATTTCAGGTAATATTTGTATTTCAACTTATTTTTTTAACTGTCAGTTGCTTCAATATATTTTCAATTGCAGGAAAACGTAAGTCTGCATTATTATTAGGAATGTTGTACATACAGTATTCAAATGTTAAATTTTTATCTTTATTTTAATTTTTCTAATTTTGACAAAACATAGTTAATCAAGTTTCGTCTTGTGAAAGTGAAAGTTGAAATATAACACTCCTTTCTAGCTCATCTGGCTAAAAAGGCCAGATTGAGTTATTACTATATCATTTGTCGTCAGTCATCGTCCTTATTCGTCTGTTAGACAATAAATGTTACCAAAATAAAACTTTTCATCCAAAACTAATGGGTCAAATTGGACAAAACTTGGTCACAATTTTCCTTGCGAAATTCAATTAGTATAAAGAGTGTTTACGATAATCCTGCATGCCAACCAACATAGCCGCTTAGTTTAAAAATAGAACATATAGTAAAAATGCAAGTATTGTCAATTATCTGGAAAAACGTTATAGATAGAGAAAATCTTATTAAGTAGAAATGTTCAAAATATCGATATTTATCTACCGTCAATCTGAAAAAACTATCAGGGGACTCCATTTATGAGTTTTTGTTCTGAATGGGTTTTTTTTTTCTCCTGTTCAGGCCTTTGGAGGCACGCTTGTTTTCATTTATATCAGCACCTTGTGTTTTGTTTTCTTTGTTAGGTAAACTTGTCATTATTTATCTATTTTTTTTATTTCTTTTTTTTATATACCTTCTTTGACTAAATCATCATTAGTTTTTGCTCTATAAATTTAGTATTCTTTTTATTTCTTTATTCATCTTATCAAAATAATTTGCACATTCATTTTTGTTTCTCAATTTACATTTTATATCTTAAGGTTAACATGAATAATAGTAATGCTCCGTAAAGCATAAGCAAGTACATACCGTGTGTGACCCTCATGTGTAGTCAAGTCTGTCCCAAATCATCGTTATATTATTTAATTTTGTCTTGCATATTCGGATCAGGTTCAAACGTCTTCGAATTAGTGTAGAAAAAAAACCTGCAAAAATAGCCGAATTTTGAAATCTTTTCTTAAACATTTAGATATGAGCCAATGCCTTGCATTTTATAATTATGTAAATTAGTATAAATTAACGTTTTTTGTTAGGTTGTGACTCATATCTTGTTTGTCTAACAATGTGTTAAATGGCCATTTTATGTCAAATATGTCAAATATATCAAATCTGCAGCATGTTTTTGTTTACAACAAATGCACTTTACAGGTAACGTTTTAGCACTAAAGGGTTGATACTATAAATAATGATAAATTTAAAAGTTAAATAGTTCAAAGCCTATAAGGTAATCTGGTTTGTTTTTCGCATAAAATGTTATAACTCATTGTACCAATGATTTTTGAAGATATCAGTTTTAGGAATATAACAATGTATATTAGGGAATTACACGTTAAAAAAACAAGAGAGACAAAAGATACCAAAGTCGAATACTAACTGGCAACGCTATGGCAAAAAACGAAAAACGAAAAAAAACCAACAGTATGCAAAACACAACATAGAATACTAAAGGCTGAGCAACACGAAACCCAAAAAACAGGAGAGATCTCTTATATGATTTTTTGAAGTGGAATATTTGATTTTCCTCTTGTATTCAATCAAAACATGTCTACTCATAAACTTTTTTTAGTATTGTGGAGGCGGGGATTTGCTATTCATCATACGCCTGTAGTTATACAGGTTATGAATCACAAAGTTACAAAATCCAATGCGGATGGTTTGACTGGGATAGATGTACGAGATACAGGTATGTGCATGTCTCTGTTGATCTTTAAAACACACCTTTAATATATTATTCGTTACTTGCCTGATTAAAAGGATGCACATAGCAAATATATTAATTGTATTTAATTGCATAAACAGAAACGGATTAATGGAAGTATAAACATTAATTTCAATTAATAATTTTCCCTCTTTCTGTTGTACAAAGTTGATAAAAAATATTCTTTCAAGTTATAATTTTCCCTCTTTCTGTTGTACAAAGTTTATAAAAGAACATTCTTTTGAATTTAGGTCCGCAGCAAAAACCTATTACAGAAGATGTTACACTTCGCATTGCTGTTCCGGATACACCGGATCATCTTGCTCACAAGGTATAAGGTATTCATAACATGCTTAACATACAAGTATTTCATAACTATAGTACGGCAGACCATGTTAAAGATAAAATACTTGTACTGATGTGAATTTATTCAAAAAAAAAATTAAAGAAGATATCAACTTTATTCTTCAATTATTTCCAATTATGTAAAAAAACTGAGGTTATGCTAGATGTACAGAACAATTAGTGAACAACTAAATAAACGACGAAATTCGTATGTAGCAAAAACAAAGATTTACGTCCAATCATCACCAAGGCATTCGTTAAGAGGCGGATGTTATTCTCTAACTGGGGGATGGGGTTGGATTGGGACTTAATAATGTTAAAGATAATGATCAGTAGTTGGTAAACCTACGCTAGATACAGATAGTTGTGACACATGTTTCTGGAATACCATTCAATGTTATCAATAGACATAACAAAATGTAAACATATTAATAGTTGAAAACACCAATTTAGGATTAACACAACCGTATAAGATCAACTTCCGCAAGAGAGTACTAAATGAACCCCTCAAATAGTAATTCGATTTTGTAATGAAACGTCTAATTTGATCAAAACAGGTCTGAAAAGACTTTAATATAAATGCATATTTAATGATAGTCAATAAATGTTAATATTTATTAACTGCGGTAAATTCTATACAGTTCAGGCACATCAATTGCAATCTAATTTCAAAGATCTTTCCGTCTTTTATTTAAGAAACCTAGTTGTTGATGTACTCCTAAGAAGTAGATTTGTACAAGCCTCTATGTAGGACAAAGGAACGAAACATCAAGACAAATCTGAAAATTTCACTTCAAAACTCTTTGTCGTTATAAACTATTCAAGAGTACTTCTATCTCATATACATTCTTAAAAGAAAAGAAACAACTGAGACTAAATAATGTACTTTATGTCAAGATATCCAACGATTGCCATAACGGCAAGTTAACTTACTCTTTTTTTTTATTTAGTTACAAAAAACTACTATAGAAAAGCTATGAGGTATTATGTCCGAAATTCACTTTTTTAATGATTGCAAATTGATGTATTTATAGTATTTTTTTAACTTACTCCACATGTCATTCATTCTCAAAAAGAAAGCTACGTTTTTATTGTTTGTATCGACTGATGTCACAACTTCAGTTACAAAATATTCTGAGCAAATGCCGAAACATCATTGATCATTATTTTGAAACCCTTTATTAATTAATGTTTTTGCAAGATGCTAAGAATTACAACTTTTCAGACTTACTTAAATTTTCTTTTCATCGACAAACTGATGACGATTTGTTCTCCACTTAGAAATATGAACTGCGTCGAATAGAATTCGACCTTATGCAAGTGCACGTATACATGTACATTGATAAGACTTTAATTGATTTTGAACATTAAAATACAAAATAAAAGACCAATTTTGGTCTGTTTTGTAGGGTTTTTGTATCAACCCAATTTTCAAACAGTTAAAGACTTTGCATAGAGATTTTGTCAACCCGAAAAAGGTTAACAGATGTATTGAAATTCATTAGCATAAGGTCGACGCAGCTCATATGACTACCTTTTTTATTTGTCTCTAGGTTGCACTTTGTAAATACAGCTGTTTCACAAACCACGCCTCTTTTGGGGAGATATATAATATTCATAGATATTTATTTTTGTTTACGTACTGGTTCCCAGATATGATCTCTATGTTTCATCTCGTAGAGACATAACTTGGAAATGTTACCAGTAAAAATACACATGCATAGTGGTCAAATTGAAATATGTGGAAGACCTAAAGTCAAGGTAGGGGTAGTACATAATTTTAGTATAAGTTTAAACTCTTAGAAGTTCGGGGCATATAAATGTTGAAAATATGCTGCGCAGCCCTATAGTTTGACCTTTGAAAAAAATAATAGTGCATATGAACTTTCCATTCTAGGATATAATTTTTTTCAAAACTTCATAATAAAAGTGGTACAGTTTTAGCCGTAAAAGCAGTTCCTATGTGAAATTGCATTGTCGATATTTACAAAAATGCAACCTCTACAATTTTATAATGATTTAATTTGCTCATTATGTGCCATGATTGAAATCATTTTTGAGATATGTTTTATCATAACACAAAATTTGTGTTTTACCAAGAAATATCTGGGTTTTTTTTACAGCTATATGTTACGGTTCTACTTCTTGTCCAAATGGAGGATCATGTTCCTTACCAAACACGTGTGTGTGTGCTCCCGGATTTGGAGGTCCGCAATGTGCAGGTAAATATAACCTTGAATGACCACTTGTCTGCATCAAATAAATTTTAAACCTCGAATGTGTATCAACCTGCTTATTTCATCAACTTTATTTTGGATACAATAAACAGACCCCGCCTCATTTTATATGTACGTGTCCAAATTTAGGAGCCTGCAATTCAGTGGTCGTCGTTGGTTCATGTCTGTCATTTTTTTTTCGTTAATTGTTTTGTTATGAATTATGCCATTAGTTTTCTCAATTTTATTGTTTCATATTTTTCATGTCGAGGCCTTTTATAGCCGACTGTATATGTTGTCTCGTAGGAAAATGTTAGCTAATTTGTATTCTTCATTAAAAGCTAATGTATGAAATCTGCTTCATATTGATAAAGAAACAAGTCGACAAGAGGAAGAGTATAGTTTGTTCAAATAAGATTACCATTTTAGCTTGGATGGTGTAAACTTCCCACTAACACCATGCATCATTACATCATTCACCATACACCTTTACACAATACACCCTGTACCATTACACTATACACGTTACACCTTTGCACCATACACCTTACACATTACACCATAATGCAATTTAATTTCAAAGAAAGCGTGCGACTACAAAATTATTTATTTATTTTAAAAAACGAATTTTGATCACAATATTGTAAATTAATGTATAAAATTAAAAATCAGTTCTTATCAATATTTTGCATAGTTTTGAATGTAATACACCATTCATTCACACCATTCCCGATCGCACGTTACACCATTACACCATTCCCCTTACACCATACATCATAGCACCATACACCTTCTACCATTGCATAATATGCCATACACCATTACACCATACACGTTTTTTTGGGAAGTTTACACCATCCAAGGGCTGTAATACTTTATTAAACCAATTATCGTCCCATAAAGGGCATATTAACAAAACAATAATGATAATGTTAATGATAATATGGATTTACCTATAGGAGTTTTTTTTAAATAGTAAAACATTATAACAAATTAAAGCAACAGTGTTGGATACTTCTTCATGTTCACAAGAAAGGAGCCAAATTAATGTATTTTCTAACTTAAATCGATCAGCGATACAATGAGTTGATGCGCCAATTCCTACTGGCTGTAAAAGTATTTTTTCATACTTAATCAACTGAAGCAAATTTTGCTGTTGTTATGAAAATCCCCGAATGTGTATGTGTTTGCAAAATGGTTTTTCTATTCTACGTTTTTCCTTAGGCCATTGTAGTGTTGGTCTTTCTGTCTAATTGACTTTTATTGGTATCTTCCTTTCTATTTCTTAGCACGATCAAATTTGTAAATTCGTCACCATCATCAATTGGTTGATCATCACGAAGAGTCTACGTCACAGCTCTCCAACGGCATGTTTTATCGATTGTATACTATTACCGATTGTCACGTTCGTTGCCTGAGTCTTAATTTGCACAGTGGTTGATACAGGCATAGCAGGAGACAATTAAATTGAAATGTATCGTGTCTTGCTACTTTGGACTTTGAGCGATTCCCTTAGATTTTATTTGTTACCTTATTCTGTGTCTTTTTTTTTATCATAAATAGTTTTGAACTTATTTAGAATAATACTGCCTAAATTAAAAACAAATTGAGGTTTGCAAGGTTTAGATGCAAATGTAAGATATTATATCCTTTATATCTAATTTTTCTCCTTTTATTCAAAAGATGTGAACGAATGTCAGCTGGGAACACACACCTGTCAGCAGCTGTGTACAAATACATTTGGATCATTTACCTGCTCATGTAGAACAGGATACACTCTAAACAGCGATTTGATAACATGTACAGGTATGTTTGCTGTAAATAACTCACTTCATGAAAACTTTCGCTGACGATTATTTGTAAAATTGAAAGGACAAATTAGGACGTTTTTGCGTAAGAAACAAAATTATGTGATGTTTGCATAAATATATGTATGAGAAAATTTTATGTATGTGAGAGGTCTTATAAATAATTGAGATGGCATGAATATCATCCTAACAAAACAAGAATAAAAATTACTTTTTGCGAATATGTGTCAGCGGTTGACATCGCACATATAAAGGAAACCAGAGATTTTTAAGGCAAATGATTTGTCAATTTTTTTATCTGGTTCTTGCAAATAATGGACCTGCTTTGATACTATAACTGTCCTTGAATTTTTACTAGATAACATTTTTGTTCGCTATGGAGATTCCGTATATCGTCAGGTTATCCCATGGGGACTAACTGTGCACCACGTATTGCGGACCTGTTTCTGTATTGTTATGAGTTACAGTTTATGACTAAAATCAGCAAAGACCCATCGAAACAACATCTGATTCAAAAATTTAATAACACTTTTAAATATTTAGATCACAATATTGTAAATTAATGTATAAAATTAAAAATCAGTTCTTATCAATATTTTGCATAGTTTTGAATGTAATACACCATTCATTCACACCATTCCCGATCGCACGTTACACCATTACACCATTCCCCTTACACCATACATCATAGCACCATACACCTTCTACCATTGCATAATATGCCATACACCATTACACCATACACGTTTTTTTGGGAAGTTTACACCATCCAAGGGCTGTAATACTTTATTAAACCAATTATCGTCCCATAAAGGGCATATTAACAAAACAATAATGATAATGTTAATGATAATATGGATTTACCTATAGGAGTTTTTTTTTAAATAGTAAAACATTATAACAAATTAAAGCAACAGTGTTGGATACTTCTTCATGTTCACAAGAAAGGAGCCAAATTAATGTATTTTCTAACTTAAATCGATCAGCGATACAATGAGTTGATGCGCCAATTCCTACTGGCTGTAAAAGTATTTTTTCATACTTAATCAACTGAAGCAAATTTTGCTGTTGTTATGAAAATCCCCGAATGTGTATGTGTTTGCAAAATGGTTTTTCTATTCTACGTTTTTCCTTAGGCCATTGTAGTGTTGGTCTTTCTGTCTAATTGACTTTTATTGGTATCTTCCTTTCTATTTCTTAGCACGATCAAATTTGTAAATTCGTCACCATCATCAATTGGTTGATCATCACGAAGAGTCTACGTCACAGCTCTCCAACGGCATGTTTTATCGATTGTATACTATTACCGATTGTCACGTTCGTTGCCTGAGTCTTAATTTGCACAGTGGTTGATACAGGCATAGCAGGAGACAATTAAATTGAAATGTATCGTGTCTTGCTACTTTGGACTTTGAGCGATTCCCTTGGATTTTATTTGTTACCTTATTCTGTGTCTTTTTTTTTTATCATAAATAGTTTTGAACTTATTTAGAATAATACTGCCTAAATTAAAAACAAATTGAGGTTTGCAAGGTTTAGATGCAAATGTAAGATATTATATCCTTTATATCTAATTTTTCTCCTTTTATTCAAAAGATGTGAACGAATGTCAGCTGGGAACACACACCTGTCAGCAGCTGTGTACAAATACATTTGGATCATTTACCTGCTCATGTAGAACAGGATACACTCTAAACAGCGATTTGATAACATGTACAGGTATGTTTGCTGTAAATAACTCACTTCATGAAAACTTTCGCTGACGATTATTTGTAAAATTGAAAGGACAAATTAGGACGTTTTTGCGTAAGAAACAAAATTATGTGATGTTTGCATAAATATATGTATGAGAAAATTTTATGTATGTGAGAGGTCTTATAAATAATTGAGATGGCATGAATATCATCCTAACAAAACAAGAATAAAAATTACTTTTTGCGAATATGTGTCAGCGGTTGACATCGCACATATAAAGGAAACCAGAGATTTTTAAGGCAAATGATTTGTCAATTTTTTTATCTGGTTCTTGCAAATAATGGACCTGCTTTGATACTATAACTGTCCTTGAATTTTTACTAGATAACATTTTTGTTCGCTATGGAGATTCCGTATATCGTCAGGTTATCCCATGGGGACTAACTGTGCACCACGTATTGCGGACCTGTTTCTGTATTGTTATGAGTTACAGTTTATGACTAAAATCAGCAAAGACCCATCGAAACAACATCTGATTCAAAAATTGAATAACACTTTTAAATATTTAGATGATATATTGGCTTTCAATTATGACGACTTCAGTATCTACACTAAAGAGATTTATCTTGTCGAACTGACTTTCAATAAAGCTAATACTAACAATGAACATTGCCCTTTCCTGGATCTTGGTATCTATATCTTTAATGGGAAGCTTAATACCAAAATTTATGATAAAAGAGATGATTTTTCATTCCCTATTGTTAATTATCCAATTTTAGATAGTGACGTTCCCTTGTCATCATCTTATGGTGTTTATATATCTCAACTTGTTCGATTCGCTCGTGTTTGTAACAACGTATTTGATTTCAACGAAAGAGATCTATGTATTACTGAAAAATTATTACACAAGGGTTTTCGATATCACAAACTAGTCAAAACATTTACTAAATTTTATCATCGGTACAAGGACATCATTCGTAAATATAAATCAACATGTAGACATCTTATACGTTCAGGTATTTCACATCCAATATTTTATGGTAATATTCTTTACAAAGCACAAAAATGTCGGCATTCACCTCAAAAGCTAATCAAACCTTTAAACAGACTTATTCGGAAAGGATATAGTTACGATACTGTTGTCAGGTCATTAAGGATTGCATATTTTGGTATTAATATTGATTCACTCATAGGGTCTTTGCATCGGAAATAAACACTATTATTCTAAAACCAGTTGTTGTCATGATACGGGTTATGTTCTTCTCATAAATTTTATGATTGTATGATACTAAACCCCTAACGGTAGGGATTGTACTTGATTTTTCATATGATGAAGACATAATCTTTCAATTAGTTTAATTGAGGTCTGGAGCTGGCATGTCAGTAACTGCTAGTAGTCCTTTGTTAATGTATGTATCATTGTCATTTTGCTTAGTTTCTTTTGTTACATATTCTGACATCGGACTCGGACTTCTTTTAAACTGAGTTTTACTGTGCGTATTGCTATGTGTTTCTTTATTCTACATTGGCTAGAGGTATAGGGGGAGGGTTGAGATCTCACAAAACATGTTTAACCCCGCCGCATTTTATCGCGTGTTCCAAGTCAGGAGCCTCTGGCCTTTGTTAGTCTTGTATGTTTTTTTAATTTTAGTTCATTTATATGTTTTGGAGTTTAGTGTGACATCCATTTTCACTGAACTAGTACACAATTGTTTTTAGGGGCCAGCTGAGGACCACCTCCGGGTGAAGGATTTTCTCGCTGCGTTGAAGGCCCATTGAACGCCTTCTGCTGTTGTCTGCTCTTTGGTCGGGTTGTTGTCTCTTTGACATATTCCCTATTTCCATTCTCAATTTTAGTAGGTCTTAAACGGCCATGTTGATCTTAATATTATCTGAATAGTCTGAATCTACAAATGTGAAGTCTTATTCACATATTTAGTTCTTTTCAGATATTTTCTTATTGTAAATTCAGTTGTGTTCAGAAGACTTAATAATAATTGTTTAGCCTTTAAAGATCTGTTTACCGAATGGGATTTTCAGTTCAAATTACATTGGTTTACGTTTTTGAAGCTCCAAAAGCCATTTCATGAATCGACAAAAAGTGTATTTTTACAGAATCACTTTCTCATATTGTCTTAATTGGCCTTATTATAAAGTCATACATCCTTCCCAAAAAATCTGTGGAATAGAATTAAGAATCCTGAACATTGTTCGTCCAGGAGAATATCCCTTGCTACAAGGAGTGAGGCTGTGATTGAATTATTAATTCGCAGCCATGTCCGTATGGAATTGGGTTGAAAATCCGATGAATCGTTTTGGGTGAATGTGACACTCTCAAATCGTTAAAGAATCATAGAAATTATTCTCTGTTAGATTCAATGGTGGGTTTGATGCAAGGAAACGTTTCAACCCTAATAAACATAAAATCATTTTCCTGTGTCATGTCAGTAAGTCAAAATATTCGGTTCTTCATCCTGGTCGACATCATATATGACATATTCATTATAAAACTTTTCAAAGTAAAAGTAGGTATGTTGACTTCTTTAGATCTTTTAATTCATTTGTCGTTCGATTAATGTCGCAATGACGTAAATCTGTTCATACTAGTTTAAATGTCAGTTTATTTTAAATACAAATACACCATAAGTACAAAACTGAAATGAACTTAAAAACAATTAGAATATCGCACGCATGATGCTTTCTATCACACATACACAAGATAAAATATCCAGTATTCGTCCGATAATGTTTAGAAATGAAATATCGTAATATTGTTAATTCAAAAGCAACACACAAAGATATGTAACGTTGTAAATTTTCTCCATAATGTAGGTCATAGGCAATATATACACAATATATACAGGAAAAAGACATGCAAATTATAATTCCAATATGACAAATTGATATGTGATGAAAACGTCACTAACACAATTGGTAAGCTAACATAGACAAGATAGTACAGCGATTCATATGGCCGTACAAAAGCAGTGACAAGGTATCAATTTGATGACAGAAAAATGGACGCACTAAAGATTGAATTTCCAAATCCAAAAGAAAAACACATCTTTTGAAAGTTTTACTGCATCTGGATAATTTGAGATTTTTCCTGTTTTATAAAAACTAATTGCTCTTTTGAGATCAAGATCAAAGATGAAATATGTTTTACTTCTATGTAAGTCAAATGTAATCGTCTCATGTCTTCTGGGCTGACGCCCCTCAGATATGAGAAGCTTACATCTAATTCATACAAACTCAAACATAAAAGGATTTAGTGTTGTTTTGGTTATATGTGTCTCTGTGTTGCTTATTCGTTTAACTCCAAAAACCAGATTTTTTTTCAAAATAAACATAACGTGTTTCATATTCAATATTGTTTTAATATATAGCTATTGATGACACTTTCCGATCCACCAATGTCGGAATCTTTTCATATTGGCATATTTTCATCTCTTCGCTGACCGTATTTTTGGATGTGACTTTATAAAGATTTAAGAATTGTATTTACATGGTTGCAATGAATGTCGCCTCGAGGAATATTATATAGGAAATTGTTTAACAATGGTTGTGTATTGTTCAATTGATAATTAATGGGATAAAAACAGATTTTTATAATAGAAATTGTTGTATTATAATCACCGCGTTTTAATTTTTTCTTAGATATTGATGAATGTGTAGACAGTAATGGCGGCTGTAGTGAGTACTGTAGAAATTTAGATGGATCGTATGAATGTTACTGTAAAACCGGATTACATGTAGCAAGTGATGGAAAAACGTGTATAGGTAAGGTAATGTACTTCACGTAGTAAAACTTTCTAAGTTTCAGAAGAAACAAATTTTCAAGATTGATTATCTATCTGACAAACGGAATCAATAAAAAAGAATTTTAAATTTACACACTAGTTCGATGTTTTTGTATTACGTTCAATAAGAACAATAACGTATTGCCTTTGCAGACATTGTTTTTCGACATATGTTACTATGACAAAATGTTAATGGTAATCAAAATCATATCATGTATCACAGACACACACACACACATACTTTAAACACTTTGCTACTTATATGTGTATTTTTAAGATATCGACGAATGTTCTTCAAACAATGGTGGTTGTGAACAAGTTTGTAAAAATGACCACGCAGTTTTCCGATGTGAATGTTATTCGGGATTTAGCATTGATACAGATGGACAATCATGTCAAGGTATGAAAATCAATACTCGCAATTTATAATTCCAGATACTGCTGAAACATGTGGTATTGAAACATTTTATTGTGCAAATAAAATATAGAACTTGACATGACTTGACATCAATATTATGTCACAAAAAAGCGAAGATAAAAATTAAACAAAATGAAGATTATCTACAAAAATTAATTATCTTAACATGCTCGAGCGTAACGTAAAAACTGAGATATGAAAACGTCATAAAACGTAAAAAGTAAAAATCATTACGTTTGTTATAGAATTTAATTTAATGTCGTCCTTTTGTGTCAATATCGAGGAATAGGTCAAGATATGAAGCAGATCTTCTAGTTCGGTAGTACTCTTAATCTCAAGTTCACTAGGAAATAGGAGCTCGATGTAAGTTTTCATTGAAATGTGAGTTATTGTGTGACAGGACGTCATCAATATATCTGAAAGTAAAATAAGAAAGCTTTGCAACCTGTTTTTCCTTTTGTTTTTGAGACGGTTCTGTATAAATTCTGCTTCATATAAGTATAAAAACAAATCGGCCAGAATGTTTCCACAAATTATCCACATTAGAATACCGGCTGTCTGCTGAAATACAAAACTACCAAAGTCAACAAATATGTTTTCGACGACAAAAATTCAGCATTTTTATGACAAACAAAACAAAAACAATAAAAGAAGTGTGGAAACACAATAATAACAAAGTGAATTTTTACGGACATGGATAAAATGTGGAAACACAATAATAACAAAGTGAATTTTTACGGACATGGATAAAATGTGAAAACTCTTGATCGTTATCCATTCTCGGTGTTTTGTTTTTTTCTGGGTGTTATACATTTGTCTTTTTTTTCGGTTATGATGCTTTACGCCTTTCTAATTATTTATACTTACATACTACCTTAACATGTTTTTCTAGATTTTCCTAAATACCTTATATAATCCGCAGCACTTGTTTTGAATAGATTATCAAACAACCAATAAACTCAACATATCTTGTAGTTGTTGTTTGGTTGTTTCAGACGATTAATTGCTCTGTCATTTCGTATACCCAACTTTTTCTTTTATTCAAATGAATGTGTGCCACTTAAGATAAGCTTTTTTCTTATATCAACTATTCATTTTGATATGTGAATTTGCAAGAGGTACACGATAGAACAAAGAAATAATAACAATAACAAGATTTAATTTCTAAGGTCAACTTTGCCTGAGGGAGTTGGAACCCCTGTTTCTTAATTATTTCATAATTGTTTTAGATATTGATGAATGTCTTGGATCTAACAAATGTACACAGTCATGCAATAATACAATTGGGTCTTATACCTGTAGCTGCAATCAAGATTATCAATTAGAAAGTGATGGTTTTACATGCACTGGTAGGTAGTTTTTTTATATTATAAATATGTGCTATTTTCATATAATTATTGAAATTAAAGCTACCAAAGAATATCAAAATAATCGTATGATAAACAAGCACGCGGGATATCGTATAACAGAGGAAATTTGAATAAAACGATTTATCAATTTAGAAATAAAAGACTTGATTGGACTCATTTCGCAATGTTCGGTTTATTCCGTTTGCCAATCCGAAAACGATGTTGGAACTAGAAAAGGGAAAAATCCAAACGATTGTTTAAAACGTACCGACGTATGTTCATCCAACAAGATTGATAACAAATATTGATTAGTGTGAACTATATAATATATATAATATCCGTATGTCCAAGTCTGCAATAATCTGATCTTAATTGTCCCTCTCAATAACTGGCTAATCCACTTCCTTATTTGACCATAGCATACATTGGCCTCAGGCGGGAGATAAAGTTTCTACACTCATGCTGTACAAAACTGCCCTAGACCCCAGATAGCTAATCCCCAGATAAAATTACCACACAGTAGATATTACTTAATCCTCAATGATTATCTGAACTTGCAGACAAAAATGTTTTTATTTCCAATAAATTTATTTTCTTGTATTACAGTTTAATAAAAAATTGTTGTTTAAAAACCAAATTATTTTTGAGTTTTTGTTTTCTTTTTTCATAGACATTAACGACTGCGTTGGGGTAAGATGCTTAAATGACGGAAGTTGTTTAGATTTCCCAGGATTATACACTTGTAAATGTAAACAGGGATTCGAAGGAAAACACTGTGAAACAGGTTTATAATAAATATTTATTAATAAACACATTTCAACGAATGCATGCATCTCAAATATGTCAATAAACTTGAAATTTAGGGTACTTCTGACAGGAGATGGTCTGCTTTATATCAGGATCATTTTTGAATTAGTAAATGATGTACATCTAAAATAAGTTCTCTGACAAATGTTACGATTTCCAAATCAGCCTTCCTCGTGTCAGAAATAACATATCCCATGCACCATGTACATGTTGATATTGTAAAGTTTTAAATAAAAAAGGTGTTTACCCAACGACATTTGAAGAAAATGAACTATACAAGAGAGACGAAAGGCACCACAGAGACATTCGAACTAATTAGTTGAACTCAAATTGACAATGTCATGGCAAAAAACGAAAAATGACAAAAAGATGAATACTTGTTCATTATCACTGAACTAGTATATATATTTGTTTAGGGCCAGCTGAAGGACGCCTCCGGGTGCGGGAATTTCTCGCTGCATTGAAGACCTGTTGGTGACCTTCTGCTGTTGTCTGTTCTATGGTCGGGTTGTTGTCTCTTTGACACATTCCCCATTTCCATTCTCAATTTTATTGTAGTTCACAAAACACAACATAGCAAACCAAAGACTGAGCAGTACGAACCGCCCAATACATCGGAACGATTTAAGGTTCTCCACAAGGGAAACCAGATTCTGCTCAACATAGTTATAGTAGCCTATATTATTTCGGTAATAATCATATGTTTGCTAACCGAAACAATATGCAAACGTCTGGACTTCCGAGAGGCATTGTTGAATGGTCTTAGATTTTAAGATATCAGAACTGTAAATAAAAAGGTTGTTTCCTAATTCATATTTATCATCGTAATATTTTCACGGCGTTTGAATTCGTAATATTGATGGGTAGTGCTAAGCTAAAGACTCTGCGATCTTGCTCCGTATTGAGTTCGTGCTATTTCCCTAATTTTAACTAATGTTTTTCTATCCCAAACAAGGGTAAAACGTAAAGATTAGGGGAAAAAACGAAAAACGACAAACAACAGTGTACAAAACACAACATAGAAAAATTAAAACTGAGCAGCACCATTTAAATTCAGACATAAGCTTTTAACTACTCCTCATAGGATCAACAAAATATGCAACTCACTTTTTTCTTTGTGACTATGTTGATTGACATTTTTGACAAAATGTTTAGAGTATATATAAAGCAAAAATGTCAATACTTGAAAACAAAATTTTCTTCTCCTTGTAGATATCGATGAATGTTTATATTTAAATGGAGGATGTGAAGATCAGTGTGAAAATATAAATGGATCTTTTCATTGTGAATGTAGGGGAAGTACAACTTTAGATAAAAACGGTGTTTCTTGTAGAGGTAACATTGTCACATTTTCAGCTTTTTGCAATGAGGTGATGTGGTATGATTGCCAATGAGACAACTATCCACCAAGTATGTTAGTCAATACGAATGGTTCATATGCACATCCTATTTTCATATTATTGTATTGAATATTCATGTCATACTTTTGGATGGACGTTTAGCTTATGTTCATATATCATAAGTGCATTCAAAGTTATGTAAAGTCTTTTGAGCATATATGACAAATGATCAATTCCTCGTAGTCTCAGTTGGTTAGTGACTATTAAAACATTTGATTTTTTTTTATTAATTTAGAGTATTATATATATTTAGAAACTATCTGTTATATCTTGTATCTGGTTTTGTTCCTTGTATTTTAATTCACAACTTGAAAAAGCTGGTGATTTATTGTATACACTGTTTTTTTGGTCTGAATGAATTTTCTTTCATATTTCAAATGTTACAGGTGACACCGATCAGCCAACTGTATTTCAAACTCATAAGATTGCACGGAGGCTGCTTCCACGTGGATGTGCTTTTGTAAATCTCATGTCCTGTCAAGGCGTTGGCAACGGATTGGAAATTAAACTATCCTCTACTGATTCATGGTATCGACTTAATTCGAATTCCAGTGTTCATTATACATATGGTATTGTTTTTGCTGAAGCCGAAGAATTTTCAATTCCGATTTCAGTCTCAGGATTAGTTGTAGCTACAACTTCCTTTAGTTTTGAATTATTTACTGGATCAGTGCTGTATCTAGAGACAGACGGTACCAAACTGTCTGATATGCACGATGATAATTGCCTGTTATTTAATACAACACCGAAAGATATTTACGACTTTGTGTCGTCAGGATCTTTTATTGGTACAGTGTTCGATAGTCTGAGAAATAAGCTTCCATCTTGGTTACAGTTTTCAAAATCTGGTGTTGGGTTACTTTCGGTAACTGATCTTAAAACTCATTTGACCTACGGCAACAATGTTGACAAATTTCAAGAATGTTATGGCGCCCCAGTTTTCAACAATCGCTTATATAACGTATTTATATTTGGTAGTGATATATCTTTCAGTATTTACGGCGACCAAATTCATATGCCGGCTCCCCTTCGAAATAACAAGTTTTGTGTGATTGTGGACATTTGTCAGAACTTAGGCGGTACAATATTTATAATGCTTCCTGCAGAAACTGGCGCAGAACTGAGTAAAGTTGGAATATTTAGCGATTTGACCAAGACAGGGTTAACGTTAACACCACGAGGAATAGGATTATCTCTTGGGAAAGATATAAATGTTCATTACAAAACATCTGAGCTTGAACTATGGAATGGAGATGAAATGTTCTATTACAGGTAGGAACGTAATGTTAAAAATAAGCCTTTGTCTCTCACACTATGGATTTTCTTGTTTAATGCATGTTTTCTCATTCTCTTGCATTGAATTGCCTACAATTTTATTCGGAATTTCGAAAAACATTATCTGAATAAACAAATAATAGAAAAGAATAGAATAGAATAGATTTGTAACAAGTTAATATGTCACAATTTATTGCGACAGCTCACATATCACATACCCCAATTACGTTCTTAATGAAATAGAACTCATCGCTGCCAATGCTATTGACAAAAGCCTATTGTTTCAGCCAGTCACATAGTATGTAGTTTTCCCGTCTCAATTTTATAAGTTATGTGCGTGCATGTTCACACTATATGAGTTTCATTAAAAAGGGTAGGTTACTAACGTAAAAAATCCGACAGCAGGGTTAATGAAAAGAACAACTGAAATTGATAATATTCAAATTTTCGGTCACCTTTAGAAACTCGTAAGTTCGGGTAAAAGAAGGATACATATTTTTCATGGTCTAATTTATTAAAACACTGAATAGTCGTCCAATCAATCGATATTTTCCTATTCTCTATTTGACATTTTCTACCGAGTCTTGCTTGGCATGGTGAAAATGAATACACAGCAAGGTACTCGAACCCTGTCGACGCATCAATTGATAGCATATGAGATTAATTCAGGTTTATCACTAGGTTTGCGTATGTTAAAACTGTGTTGAAAGTACGTCCAAATGAATTTTCTATCTACAAAAAATGTGATACTAAACATTTTTTGTTCTTTTTTAAGCAGATGTCGAATGAATGTTGTGCTGGAACAATGATAGAGCATAGTACAAACACCTATTCTGCGAAACCTTTGTCTTGAGCATTATTTCCATATGTAGAATACATACCTTGCAGTTTTCATAGAAATTTAACGCAAAATAATTATCTTTGAGACCTGGGACCATCTCATTTCATAAAGGATATCTTTTGTTCATTTATTGTACCCCGAACTTATTAACCCAGTGTAGGTCTTTAAGTTGAGGTTCAATTAAAAGATGAATCCTTTTAATCAGGGTGTCCCAAATAGGATTGAAAAGAAGCCAGCAAAATACCACTATTTACAATTTCAAAGAACTAAAGTGCATTTGATTGATCATCTCCAGTTAACAATCAGACAATATTAGAGTGGAAATCCGCCTCTGAATTCAAACCTCTCCGAAACATAAAAAAATAGTGCAATCAGAATTGATATACACAATAAGTACACATCTTAACTTATGTTTAGATGCCCGTTATAACCTTTAAATACCTGTTCGGTTTTTTTTTTTTTGGCATTCGTCTACTATGGAGAGAAAGTGGAAAGGAGGTGGGTAATAGCTGACCTTACGATATAGGTCAAGGTTCGACACTATTCTGTTAAGTTGTAAGGCATACTTTTGACTCTCACCAAGGTACGATCTTATTCAAGTGTTTATCTAAGTTATTCGACGTCAGTTGTCTGTCAACCCTTTTTCCATCTCGTTATAAAAATACGTATGAAATACATATTTGCGACTGGACATTTAGGGGGCAATCAATCATTCAGCTTCCTTTAGTGACTTATATAGTTTCTATTCTTTAGTGATAATTGACTCAACATGATTTCCTCTTTTTAGATATTTGTTGACAAGTTTTAATTTGCTTTTAATTGGAGAGGTTTAAAGATTTCTATAAGAATATTTCGTGTAAATTAAAATCAAAACAATTGATTTAGTTAAATGTGATATTGAAGGTTTCTGATGGTTACTTAACATTCCGTATTCAAATATAACATTCAACTTTGTTAAGGATTTTCAATTGTACAAATTTCTAAAAAACAAATGTGAAAGGGTTCAACAGCGTCAAGCGTCAGAAAATGGAACTGATTTATTATGAGGTGTTTGGAGCACCATGGGGTCGTAATTAAATCGTTAAACAAGAAGGTCTACCTTTAATTTCAATTTGCTAGTTAAAATTTAATTTTAACTTTTCCTTACTCAATAGTCTTTTCCATTTGTATGTTTTTTAAATAACGTAGTCAGCAATTTTGACTCAATCAGCCTTATAGATGACTGAACAATCTAGTCAATTTTTGTTTGTACAACAGTCCCTGTCAAATTCATTTACAAGAAGTATACGTACTCATTTGTAATATACATATTGACACTTAATTTTCATCGAAGTCCGTTTACTGTCTTCAATATAAAAATAAAGAGATGTAGTATGGTTGCCAATGAGACAACTATCCACCAAAATTCAAATGAAGTGGCCGTAAGCAATTATAGACAACCGTACGGCCTTCAACAATGAGAAAAATCCATACCGTATGGTTGGCTATAAAAGGCCTAGACATGAAAAATATGAAACATTTCAATTGATAAAAATGAACGGCCATATTTATAACAGAACAATTTACGAAAAACATGTATGACAGACATGAACCAACAACAACCACTGAACTACAGGCTCCTGACTTGGGACAGGCACATAAATAATGTGGCCGGGTTAAACATGTTTGTGAGCGCTCAACCTTCCCCAAACCTGGAATACAAATGTAGTGGTGTAACAGAACAACATAAGAACAAACTATAAAAATCAGTTGAAAAAGGCTTAACTCATTAGATGGATACAAATAGAAATACATCTAACAAAAACAAAGAGTGGACGTGGACGGGTACTTATACATCCCTACAACAAAAAGACACTAAGTACATATCTGAGAGTACTCGTAGTTACTAACATCTAGTTCAAAGCCGATAACAACTAATAAAAGAAAATCATGTATCTTATACTAAAATATCAATCAGAACACATCCAACATTTGAATTTAGTGCAAAGACGTCATTTACAGTCAGAGAAAAACATGACTTTGTGCAATGCCAAACTATAGGTCTCGACAGATTGTAGTACAGTGAAAGTAAATATGTGTAATCAATATTTATACCAATACATACAATATTCAAAGATTTTATTACAGTGTTGAATAGGTAACCTTTTAGAATAAGTTTACCCGGATTGTATCTAAATTTCCGGGCTCGGTTAACAACATCACCGTAAAATGTAGGATGTGCTATACCGTTTGAACAGACATGTGACAGAGTTGTCAAGCCACAACTGGAGATTTGGAAATTTTCATCTGGAGTTTGGGCCTCATAACTGGAGATTTTTTATCGACATTTTTATCGACGTACGCAATGGTTTTTTTTTTTTTTTTTTGTGTTTAAACTGCATATCTTCCTTTTTTGTTAATGATTCTATACCTTTAAACACCTGCATAGCCATTTGTACTTGATAGAAATAGAAGATAAGGGGTTTTCAAATATTTATTCATTATATATAGTTCAAGATAAAGTGATCAGCCATTATATATAGTTGGCAAAACGTATCTCTGCTTAAGCTACATTGTCAACTTTGGTACCACTATTGAACAGTGGTGTTGAATTTGTAGAGTTGTGGGCTTTCTGATGGGTAGCTATCTCCATATGTTTGGTTAAGTCATAAGGGCCACCATAGTCAGCTGTGCAAGAAGTGTAGCAAGCATGGTCTTGACCCTTGGCACTGGACTTGCACCATTTGAAATCAGATCTCCAGTCAGAGTTGAATTTGACTAGATACTTGGTCTTTTTTAATTTGCTGCTGGGGTTTTTGGTAATAACATACGGTTTGCATTTTGTCAAATAATAAAATTTTAGAATTGTCCAAGACAAACATACTTATATAGGTATTCCATTGGCTTGGATAGAAACAAGCCATAAATATCATATTTGAGTTGATTTCATTTGTCTTTGAGGTTTAGTAATATAATGTAACTGTTCAATGATTTCAACATCATTAAATTAAAGTCGTTGTTTATACAACTTAATCCATTGTCAGTATTTTACTTTTAATCATCCTGGCGTATGTCTTAAACTAGCTAGTTGAAATAAGGTTTCTACAAGTATCGAAATCCCTGTCTTAATAATTTACTAGTAATACATAGATTACGCTCATTAAAATCCAATACGTCACTACAGACACGAGCATAGTGAACGAGTTGTGATATATAAACACCGTAAGACGGTGCCAAAGGAACATCACTGTCCAAAAAGGAAAAATTAACAATAGTGAAAGATTTAACATCCCCATTTCAACGTGGCTGCCCGCACATCCAAACGGATACCCCGGTAGATCAAAGGTATACTGTTGTTCGGGAGAAGTAAACAGAACAATCTAGACATCTAGAGTAAACATAGTCTTTTATAATAGAATGACGCCAAAAAAAAATTCAAGCTCAAAACTGCCTCATGTTTAAAAAAAAAGAAAGGAATTAATTTAACACTATTTACCATCAAAGATAGGCACAAGAACATTTTGTGTCTTTGAAAAATTTCATCTTTTCTTTTGAAATATCGATCAGTGGAATTACACATTATAAATAAAATTAGGTGCAATTAAACTCAGTATAATAAAGGACTTCAATGTATAGTAACGGTATACTAGAATACCATACCAAAACAAATGCAAACACAACAACAGTTTGAAGTATTATTTCATAGAATTCTAGAAATTACTAAAGAGAGCTAAAAGTATTTAGTAACTTATTGATATCCTCTGGAAATACACTTTAATATCGATAGCCGACTTCAGAGTAGATTTTATACACCAACTTCAGGAATTGTTCTAAGTAAACAGTACAAGGAAGACAAGATCTTTTGCAATGCCTTGAACACACGGTAGCAATGGAAACTTTAATGTTATTGTTAGTTATTTCTTTGCAAAACACTGCATGGCTAAACACAACAGTAACTATATATTTTTTAAATATTTTTTACTATGGTTCTGATCTATAATTGTCTTAGTACGGTCTATTATGTCGAGCAATTATTAAAATAGGAAAAGTAATGTTAAGGTGTTCGCTAAATAAAGATGTGAAAAGTGAACGACAGATGACTAAAATAAATGTATTTATAAATCAACTGAACTGGACAGAGAACAATGTGTCCGATTATTGTTATTCGCCAAAACGT